GGGAAATATATGGAATCCTAACAACAGTATGCCTATCTTAGCCCTAGTAGTATATATAGAAGAATAAATTACGAAACAAGGAGTACTAAGAAGAGCAAAACAAATCGTTCAAGAAAAAGAAAATTAGAGGAGAGAATGGCAACTTGTGGTTTATGATAGCAAAGCCCAATCTCAGAAGAAAATAAAGGGCAAGTAGGAACAGAAAAAGCTACACGGACAATATTTAAAAAGAGCGAGCGTTTCAGATATTAATAAGAAGAGTACGCACCATTGGCTACGGCGTGGAAAACTTAAAGTTGAACCGGAAGCGTTTATTACTGCGGCTCAAGATCAGGCATTGCGGACCCATAACTACGAGAAAGTAATTCTCAAAGTCCGCCAAGATGACATGTACCGACTTTGCCCATCACGATCGGAAACCATCGACCATTTAATTTCCGGTTGTCCGATATTGGCAAAACCAATGAAATATCTGGAAAGGCACAATAAAATTTGTCAAATCTCCACTGAAATATTTGTCGCGAATACGGAATGGATGGATTACCCAAGGAGTGGTACAACCTCATTCCAACCCCGGTGAAGACAGAAGGTCCATGCACAGTTCTGTATGATCAACAAATCCACACTTACAGAACTGTGCCAGCTAACAAACCGGATATCATCCTCAGACATATTGCGGAAAAATGGTGTAAGTTAATTGAGGTATCCGTGCCGGCGGAAAAAAACACCAGGCAGACAAGGAAGCGGACAAAAGGCTGGAATAGTCAGGAAGTGGGGAAAAAAAACAGAATCGTGGGAGCAGCACTGGGAGCCATGCCACATACAATAAAAGGAAATTTAAAAGAAGAAACTATCCAGGAAATCGCACTATGTGGAACGGCCCACATTCTTCGGAAAATTCTATAAATAGCTCCAAAGAAATTCGAGCATTTATCCCGAAGGAATCGGGTAGAGACCTGGAACAAGTGTTTAAAAAAAAATTTCGACAAGTATTGGAGTGTTCAAAAGTGAAAATAATAATAATTTTCTTCTCACTTAGGTGGGAAACGTTTATCAATTATAAATTAAAAATAATATATATTATGATAACGATAAAAAAAAAATTAAAAAATGTTAATTTCCGTTAATTTGTGTGTGTGTGTGTGTGTTAATCGTGACACAAAGTTTTAAATTACATTACAAAAAAAAAAAAAAAGAAAAATCTTGAAGGCTTTGTTAAAATTTCTAATCACAATACTGAGTAACACGCATGCTATTTAAATTTCTATTCAGTTGACGGTTGGCAAGATAGTTTTTATGTTGTTGTTTTTTTTTTTTTTTTTTAAATTTATGGTAGTTTTTTTCTCCTTTTCTTTCTTATTATTATTATTACTATTTGCTTTTATTTTCACGTGTTTTTTTTTTTTTTTTTTAACATACATATATATAAATTTACAAGAGTAAAAAAAAAAATTATTATTATTATTATTTGTTAATAAAAAAATTTTTTTAACAAGTTCTTATAAAAATGTTTAAATGTTAATGATGATTATTATTTAATTAATAAATTTAATTGAATTATTTAAAAAAAAAAAAAAAAAATTTTTTTTTAGTCATTTAAGAAAAAGAGGATATGAATTACATAATCGTAATGACTTAAATAGTTAATAAATAAATAAATGTTTTTATTAATTACAAAGAGTACACATGCGAAACGAATGCGATTAATTATCAGAGTGATAAAAAAAAAAAAAAAATTTTTTTTTATTTAAATAAATCATTTTTCTTTTTTTTTTTTTCTAACGTTGATTTGATATTTGCATTTTCTTATCACACACACACACACACAAGTATTGTCGTCTAGATTTTGTTTTTTCTCTTTTTTCTAGTATTATTATTATTATTATTATTATTATTATTTATTTATTTATTTATTTTCAACGGCTTAAACTTACAAATGTAAAATTATGTAATAATTATTATTATTTTTAAAGTTTTTTTTTTTTTATTTTAATTTTGGAAATTATTTTATAAATTTTTTCTACATGTAAAATTTTTTTTGGTTAAATAAAAAATCGATTTCGATCGATCGTTCGATGGATCGATCCATCGATTCATTACCAATAATAATAATAATAATAAACGTAACGAGAATCTTTTTAAACGATATTAAAAAAAAAAACTCTTCATTAACATATTATAATTACCTGTAGCTTTTTTTTTGTCGTAATTAACCGCATATGAAATTTGACAAACGTTGTTTTATAAACTCTTATTAATAATAATAATAATAATAATAGCAATAATAATAATAATAGTAATAATAATAATAATAATAATTTTTTCTCTGTCTCTTTTGATTAACATAAGTTTTATTAATTAGTAAAACATAATCGCCGTTAAAGATATGAGTCATTAAAAAGAATCGGTCGTAAAAAAAAAATAAAACAATCAATAAATAACAAGTAATAATAATTAATAAATCATTAAACGATATTAATAATTATAATAATGATAATAATAATGATAAGTTAAAATCTTTTTATTTTATTTTTTTTGTATGATATTTGTTTCCTTTTTTTTTTTTTTTTTTTTTAATTTAAAATCGTAAAAAAAATTTTTGGATTTTTCAGGTACGTAATCAGGTATGTTATTAAATTTGAATCTTTTTTTTTTTGTTAATATTCAAATGGCATAACACGCATAATAAACATGTACGCATACGCATACGCGTATAAAATTTATTTTTATATTTATTCTATGGAAATACGATTGATTATTCCGGTACCGTTTTTTTTTTTTTATTGTATTTTTCAGTTCGTGGACATGGAATGAACGGCTATTAAATCAAAATTTTACATATATAAATTTATGTATAACTTTATCGTCGAATATTCTAGAAATTTAAAATATTATAAGATGAAAAATAATTTTTTTTTAATTAATTACGTTAATTAAAACTTTTTCTCTCTTACCTTAAGATTATCATTTTGAGGAATAAAATAATAATAAATTAAATTTTTTTTCTGGTTTAATTGTATATAAAAAAATAATTTGAAGGAAATGAGAGACGGAGGGGGAAGGGGGAGAGGGAGGGGTGTATGGAATTTAAAAAAAAATTTACGAAATAATAATAATACTTTTTTTTTTTGGGTAGCCTTGACTGATTTTCTGCAGACCAGTGTCGTGTCATTAATTTCAAACATATATATACGAAATGTTTTTTTATTTATTTTTTTTTTTGTAGTAAAAAATTGGTGAGCCCCTTTCTCCGTTTCTCCCCCTTCCCCCCGCCCCCCTCCGACAAACGATCAAACGTAAAAAAAATTTTTTTTTTTGTTAACTTCACGACAAATTCGAATGAGAATATTTATATATAAAATAAATGAATGAAGGGCAAATACAATTTTACTTTTTTTTTTACCTTATACAAATTGACATAATCTAATGATAAGATAACAGAGATAAGGAAAAAGAAAGTCAAAATAAAAAAAAAAAAATTGTCAGGTAAAAATTTAAAGATATTGACTTGCAAACATCTTTGCTCCTGTTGCCATGAAAAAAAAATTAATAAATTAATTAATTAATTTCACGTACGTATTTTAAAATATTTGTCGTTTAAAAAACAATATAATAATAATAATAATAATTTGTGAAAAATAGAAAATTTAAAAAAGTCAACTTAAAATCCTTGTGCTAATTTATTTATTTATTTATTTTTTTTATTGATCAATCATTAAAGGTGTCGTCGTCGGTTCTTCTTAATTTTTTTTTTTTGTCTTATCAAGGACGATATTATTATCAAATATCTATTTTTCAATTTGTAATATAACAATTAATTTTTTTTAACGACAACAACAACAACAACAACAAAGTTCGGACATTTCGTAAACCTTAAATAAAAATTATTATTATTATTTTTACAATCGATATTGTTTTTTTTGCGGGGTGTGGGGGTGGGGGAGGAGGGGGAAGTAAAACAGTAGTAGTTCCCCTTTACAACTTTTCGATTATAAGTTATTTTTAAATTGAAAAAAAAAAAAAAAAAACGAGTGCGACATAAATAAAAAACATGTACGCGTTTGTAATATTAACTTTTTGTTTTTATTTTCTGTAACAAATCGAAAACGCCTTCTAAAATTTTTTTTTAAATTGAAAATATTATTTATTTATTAATAATAATAATAATAATAATATGTTAAAAATTAAATTGAAAAAAATAGTTAGATAAACGACCTTGTTTTTTTTTTTTTTTTTTTTTTTCAAATCAGTTATCATGAATTTACTCGTTGTAGTAGTAATAATAATAATAATAATAAAAATGACGGGAAGTAAATGATTGAATTAAGCTGTTTGCGTTGCCCCTCATTTATGACCTTAACAGTGACCGAGCATTTGTTTGTTCTTAAAACAACACCACCAACAACAACAACAAACAACAGACTCAATAAACTTATTAATTTTATTTAAACGAGACGTTACGTACTTTTTTTCTTTTTTTCCTTTTTCTTTTATCATTGTCCAACGCTCGCTATTTATTATTATTATTATTATTTCGTACGATTTGTAAATGATCGATCGATAAAATGCTTAATAAGTAATTTTATTAAAAATAAATTTAAATTAAATAAATAAATAAAATATTTTTAAAAATGATTAAAAAACAATTTTATTTATATATATACATATGATTTGTAAAATTTTTTTTTTGAGTCATTTGCGGTCATTTTATTATTAATAATAATAATATGGTATTAGGCTCGAATTTGCACCTGTCAGGTATTTTTTTTAACATGTTATGATTGATCGAGGTTAATTTTTTAATAATTTTGACAACAATAAACATATACATAAATAAATTTCTCATTTCGTGTCAGCATCAAAGGATCGTTAATGATCCCAACTCCGATATTATATAATGTGATATCGAGTATGACGACTTAAAACTATTATTATTATTATTTTTAAGGAGAAAGAAAAATTTTCTTGGAAAAATTTGGTTGGTATTGTGGTATCGAAACATGTTTACACATAAACCACCAATAAATAGTTTCTGGTACTTTGCCAAAAGGTATAAAAACCTAATAGTACATATAATTTACCAATCACGAAAATAATAATAATGATAATATAAAAGGGAAGTTTTATTTGTACAAAAAATTATATATTATATAAAAAAAAACATTTGAGTGCATTTTTTTTGTTACAAGTAGGCGAGCGAGGAAGAATGCAGGATTTTAAACGTCAACATGACCCAAATGACCAAGGACAAAGTCTTTTATTTTTTTTTTATATCACGTGTAATAGTCGTCGTCGTCGTTTGTTGACCATAATTATTTAATTATAATTAAAACAAAATTATTTGGTTGTTGTTGTTGTTGTTTAGAGTGTTAATAAAAGTTCATTTCCTTAATAATTGATTATTATTATTATATAACGAGAAGTAAATCATAACTTTTTGTTTCTTTCTCTCGAAAATTAGTGGCAGTACAAACAAGTTGTGGTAACATTATTAACAAATTTTTCTTCCAGTGTTTTCTACATTGTTTAAAAAAAAAAAAACAAAACAAATGAAGTTTTTTTATAGTTAATTTTTTAAAATAATAATAATAATATGGACGATACAAATAAAGAAAAATTAGAAAACAAAAACAATTTAGAAGAAAAAAGGAAGGAAGAAGAAGAAGGTGAAGAAGGTGAAGAAAATGAGGAAAAGAAAAAAACAATTGTTAATAATAATAATAATAATAATATAGAAAAAAATAGTGATAAAGAATTAGATTTAAAAACATTATTAGAAGATAGTTTAGGACAATTATATTTATCATTGTGTTTTCTTAATTCAAATGAAAATGCTAAAAAATTATTTTTACCAGAAGAAACGGAATATAATAATTTGGATAAATCAATTGAAGAATTAGATTCGAAAAATCAAATCGTCAATAATGATAATAATGATTTCTCTGGAAAAGATAATATATCTCCGTCATCGACGACGGTTCCACCGTGTAAAAGACCTCAACGTTTAGAAGGTTTAGATAAATTTCCAGAAGTGAGTCCTAGAAATCAAGATTTATTAAGATTAAGTTTAAGATTAAATGGAAATCGGCCGAATACTCCGACTCGATACGGTAATTCGAGTTATTATTCCGATGCTGATAGCGGTATAGGTACTACAACACCGACAAAAAGAATATCCGGCGTTACGAGCATGAATCAAATCCCGTGGGTTAAAATAAATCCGGAAGTTTTGGATATATTGAGTACGCCGCACAGCAACAAAAACAATCTAACCGTGAGATCAAATAGATCTTATAATTTCGAAAACGATTCACCCACGAGAAAAACATCAAGTTTTAAATCTAATAGATCCCTAGATATAGAAACATTTTTTTTAAATCGTTCCCCGTTATCGGATTATAGAAATTTCGATGTTGCTTCCTTACACTCCTTATCGATTCCCATGGGATCATCTGATGGACGGAAAATCATCAAAAGAAGCATTACATCTCCGGAAGATTTACAAAATTTAAATAATAAGTAAGTTGATATCATTATTTGAAAAAAAAATTTTTTTTTTTTAATCGAATGAGATTATCGATCGATCGATCGATCGATGTATCGATATATCGATCTTTTAACTAAATAATATGAAATGAATGTGTTAAAATAATCATTTTGCATTAAATGACCTTTTTTTTTACTCCACCACGACATTTTTAATCAAATAAATAATTTTTATATACGTTAGAATGAATTTAAGTATGGAAGGAAATTTTTTTTTTTTTATGGTTTCATTCTTTTGACATTAATTGAATCATAAATTTTTATGTTAGAAGTGCATAATAATGATAATAATGATAATAATAAAGGAAACAAACCATTGTTTGTCTCGCGTTGATAAATTAAGTTCAAACGAAAAAATTATACCGTTTAAATAATTAAATTGTTTCGTTCTCTATCTCTCTCTTCCCCCCCCCTCTCTCTCTCTCTCTCTCTCTCTCTCTCGTTTACTTAATACGAAATTACAATCTTGGATGATATTATAGACGTTATATAAAAATTTTAGTTTTGATTTTTGTCATAAAAACTTATATATGAAACGAAGTCACATCGTGTAAAAAAAAATTGAAATTGAAATTTAATTTAATTAGCACTTTATATTTGGTCAATATATTTACTTATGATGGAGATAGATAGCGAAATATTTGTCGCATACAATTTTCTTAACATAATCCTTCGTTAATAATAATAATAATAATAATAATAATAATAATAATAATTTTTTCATCTTAAATCAAAGCAGTAAAAGAAAACTTTTTTTTAATTTCAATTACTTCCGGTTTTTTTTCACATTTGATACGTGAAGGAAAAAAACTAACAATTGTAATTTTTATATAAATGACCTTATTAAAAGAAAATTTCTATGTATTATTTAATCAGAGGAAATTGTCGAGAGAGAGAAAATAACTAAAAAAAAAAAAAAAAAATTTTTTACTTCCGCTATTTTTCCTTTTTTTTTTTTTTTTCTTTATGACCGCAAATTGTTTAACCAATTACAACTAAATTTTTCCTAATCCTTTCCTTCACATATATCTAACTTTAAATAAATAATAATAATAAAAAGAAATTCTTTGTATTTATTATTTAATTTCACAAGTTTTTTTTTTTTAAAACTTATTTTCGTCCGTGTTAATTAGTTAAAAACAAATTCGTAACTCCTTAAAAAAAAAGACAAACTAAAAAAAACTAAAAATTTTTTTTTTTAGTTTAACTAAATCTTCGTTCGGAAGTTAGTTTATATTCTGTACCTAATACCGAATGGATAATTTTTTTTTAAAATGAAAAAATTAATAAAATATTATAAAAATAAAAACGATAATGAAAATACATTACATAGGTATGATTTTAAACTTTTATTATTATTATTATTATTATTATTCGAACGGGTTTTTTTTTTTAATTCGGGGAGAATAAGGTAGAAGAAGGTAGGGAGGGGAGTGAAATTTTTTTTTTTAAAAACGTAGGTTAATATTATTATTATTATTGAATTTTTCCAGGAGTTTCGAAGATGATTATTCATCCCGGAACAGCTTACAGAGATCCTTAACGATATCTCTGGAACATCCGAGAATGCCAAGAAGAGTTCAGTGGGCCAATAAAACACAATTTATATTAGCTTGCGTTGGATATTCAATAGGTTTGGGAAATATTTGGAGATTTCCATATGTTTGTTATAAAAGCGGAGGAGGTAAATACATTTATTTAACCATCCCTCGATCCATAATTTAATTTTATAATAATAATAATAATAATAATTGACAAGTATCACAATTATTAGTCTCCATTCGAAAAGTATATATGATTTTTTTTAGGCATTTATTTTTTTTTTCTTTTTAGGCATGTAAAATTTTAAATCCGTGAAGTCAATGACTTCGTAAACAACTTTAAAAAAAAAAATTATATTTTAACAATATAATAAAAGTTTCATAAATTTCCCCCCCCTTCCTCCTTCTTCCCCACCTTTACGTCTCATATGGTTACGTGATAGCCAAGGTCAAGGCTTTTGAGGATTGGTTATGATTTTCTTCTCTTAAAAAAAAAGTCAAACGTTAAAGTCTTTATGAAGTTAAATTTCCCCAGTGGAAAAATAAATAATAATTATTATTATTATTATTATTAATACCCGAAAGAAAATTAAATAAATAAACATTTTATCAATTTAAATTGATGTATTTTCCGGTCGGTTGTATTTTCCACAGGTTTTCTCATTCATATCTCAATCTGATGAAAAATTTATTTCAGGTGCATTTTTAGTACCATACGTATTGGCTTTATTCGTTTGTGGCATACCACTCCTATACATGGAATTAATGATCGGACAATTAACGAAACGAGGGCCAATAGGAGCTTTGGGAAAATTATGTCCTCTATTAAAGGGTTGGTAAATATTAATTCTTATAAGTTTACACTGGGAAGAAAAATCCTACGTTTTCCTCTTTTTTTTTCAAAAATAAAAAAAAAAGTTCGCGGCGACAAAAGAAACATTATCGGTTTTTAATTTCTTGTACCTGATCAATTAACATAAATAACATAATGAAAACTTTAAAAGGACTTAGTTGCCCTATGTAGTCATAACAAATCGTTTTTCACGACGTCTGACCTTGATTTAATTCTTACACAATGATTTTCATCATGAGATCGGTGGGTCGGTCAACTACGGAAAATTACGGTAATAAATTGAATATCAAGGTAATGAACTCTCACCATAGATAAATAATAATAATAATAATAATAATAATATTTCACAGGGGGTTTCCAAAGAAAAAAATTATTCGACATTAAAAAAAATTAAATTGTTTGCAGGAGCTGGTCTCTCTAGTGTTGTCATTTCTTTCATTATGTCTACGTATTGCAATGTGATAATTGCTTACACGATATATTATTTATTTACTTCTCTCAATTCAAAATTACCTTGGCATCACTGCGATAACCCTTGGAATACAATCAATTGTTGGATGCCTTCTCTTAGACTCGAACAAAATATTACCAAACCAAATATGTCTAGAACTCCTTCACAAGAATTCTACGAGTAAGAATATTCTTTTTATCATTAAGTAAAAAAATTTTTTTGTATAAATAAACTCACGTTTTTTTGTTTTTCCACAATACTTTCTAGCAATAAAGTTCTTCAAATAACATCCGGTTTAGAAATACTTGGAAAATTTCGTTGGGAATTAGTCGCTTGTCTGATAGTCGCATGGATTTTAGTTTATTTTTCAATTTGGAAAAGTATTAAATCTTCCGGAAAAGTTATTTACATCACGGCTACGTTACCCTATGTATTAATATTGGCATTCCTTGTTAGAAGCGTTACATTAGAAGGAGCCGATGTGGGATTAAGTTATTTATTTAATCCCCAATGGGAACTTTTAGGGGATGCCAAAGTAATTAACAAAAAAATGAATCTTACAAATATATGCGATTTGTAAATAAAATTTTTTTTTTAAATTTAGGTTTGGGTAAATGCTGCTGGACAAGTTTTCAACTCCATCGGTTTAGCCTTCGGTTCGATTATATCATTTTCCAGTTATAAAAAACCAAACGACAGGATATTAATCGACACTATAACAGTTTCTTGCATCAATGCAGGAACGAGTTTATTGGTTGGAATATTTGCTTTTGCTATTATAGGAAATATAGCAACAGAACATAGGACTTCAGTTCATGACGTCATAACCGATGGTCAGATTATTTTCTTTTAAAAAAAAAATGTTATTTTGTTTCAAAAATTATTTCTCAAATATTTCCAAACATTTAATGTTACAATTATGATGAAATTATAAAAAATCCTGTAATTTTTAAGGTCCAGGTCTGGTGTTTGTCGTTTATCCGGAAGCAATGGCTAAAATGCCTGCTTCACAACTTTGGGCGATTTTATTCTTTACTATGTTGTTTTGTGTAGGTTTAAATAGTCAAGTAAGTTTTTTTTTTTAAAAAAAAATTATGTTTTCCTTTCGGTTATTTTTTTTTATAAATTTGATTAATTATTATTATTATTTAAAGTTTGCAATCGTTGAAGTAGTTGTCACGGCAATACAAGATGGTTTTCCCAATTGGATAAGAAGAAATTTTGGAGGCCATGAAGTTTTAGTTTTAGCCGTTTGTTTTGTATCCTTCGTCTTAGGACTTCCAAATGTGTTTCAAGTAATTTAATAGATAATATAAAAATTTCCCATCAGGAATAAAATATAATCCCCCCCCCTTTTTTTTTAGGGAGGAATATTTTTTTTTCAATTAATCGATCATTATGCTGCATCTATATCGATAATGTATTTATCATTTTTTGAACTCATTGCTTTTGCATGGTTTTACGGTTATCGAAGATTAAAAAATAATTTAAAAGAAATGACGGGAGAAACTCCATCATTATATTTTAAATTTTGTTGGTGTATAGCTGCTCCGGCTTTTTTAATGGTAATTTCTTTTTTTTTTTTTTTTAAATTATTCATTTTTAAATGATTTTATAACTAATTCTTTAATTATAGGCCGTTTGGATATTCAGTTTAATTGATTACGAACCTCCTACGTATAGGAATGGAGAATACAGGTATCCACCGTGGGCAGAAGGTTTAGGTTGGGGAATCGCATCCATGTCTTTAGTTTGCATACCAGTTTATTCAATTTACGTTTATTTTTCGGCAGAAGGGAAAAATTTTAAACAGGTAAAACCAAATTTTTTTGTAAAATTTCCAACTTTTCAAATAATAATAATAATAATTTTTTTTTGTAGAAAATAAAAAATTCCATCACACCTCATTTATATATCTGTGATATTTGCAATGAAGAAAATTGTGAACATCTATATGGTAAAGATGAAAGTATTAGAGAATTAGATACTTTATTAAATGAAAATGATATGCCGACCATTGTTAGTGAAAATAATAAAGATGAAAGTTCTCAAGGAAAAGAACTTTATCATCTTTCCAATGGGAAAAACATATTTTAAAATTTAGTATTTTTTTATTTACAAGAATAAATAGTATTTTTTTTTTTTATGAAAACAATTTAACGAAAATAGTTTTTTTATTAATTTGATATTTAAAATAGGCCCTGAAATTTTTTCATAGTATTTTTTTAAGTTACATTCTATTATAAGTATTAATGGCTTGATTATTTGAAAATAATGAAAATGTTTTTTTTTTTTTATGTCGATTAGAAATGATTTTTAAGAGTTGAAGAAATTATAAAAGTCTTGTAACCCATAATTTTTCTGTAGGAACAGTTTTAAATACCAAAAGATAATAAAATGTAAAAAAATTATAAATAATAAAATTATTACAAAAAAATAAATTATTTGTTATTTTTAGTTTAAACATAAAACATTAATCGATATAAATATATGTATGTGTTTCCTTTTTTAAAACATTTTCCCTTGTAATTTTGCTTTATCCTCAGCATCTTTTGATTTTTTTAATACTTCCATTTTGTTGAGATCTTTTTGAACTAAATTTTTTAATGTGCCATCAATTTCAGCAACTCTTTTCAAATCAATTTCTGCTTCTTTGAAATTCCATGCTCCAATGTGAGCTTTACCTCTCCTGTATAAAGCTTTGACATTGTTAGGGTCAGATTCCAAAACAGTTGTGCAATGTTCGATAACTGAATAATATTCAGAGTTTAGTAATTTACATTGTGCATAATTAAGAAGAATTGGAATTTTTATTTCATTTAATTCTGTCCATTCTTTATCTTTTGGTTTTTCCCTATAAATGAAAAAAATTAATTACAATTATTTATGTCAAAAATAGTACAGCTTTTAAAATGTGCTATTCTTTTATTATAAAAACACTTACTTAAGCATTAACTGCTCAAGCATTCCAATAGCGAAAGCATATTTATCAGCTGCTTTAATATATTCCTTACTGTTATAAAGTTTATTCCCTTCTTCCTTGAGTTGTGGTATCCTAGCTAATTTTTCATCTTCTCCCATTTGCCATGACTCTTTTTCATATTCATCGGGTAATTCAACTTTTAACAATTCTATAATAAATTCAAGATCACAAGGATTTTTCATTAATTCATTTAAGTCATTGTAAGTTAACTGATTATGAAAACTAGCAGCACAATAATGATTTCTTCTTTCTTTGTTAGGATTTTTAGCATCTCTGATAGTTTTAGATACCATTGGATATGATTGAAGTAAAACTTTATCAACAACAAAACTTGATACTTCATTGAGTGCCATAGTCTTAATTGCAGTTTCCCAAACTTCAAATTTAAATTTTTTTCCTATTATTAGTTCCATTGGTGAATCAATTTTTCTACTGTCATCTATGACAGTTTTTTCCTCATTACATTTTCTTGTTATATAATGGAAACGTACCTTTGAAAAATATATTTTTTATCAGTTTGAATCAAATAAATGAAAAGGGTGAAATTTTTTTTCCAAATTTTTTTAGCTAGAGCCTAACAGAAATGGTTTTTTACGACTTTCAAAAAAATTCAAAAATGAGAAATATTATAATTAAGAATATTGACACTTTAAATGATTGTTTTTCATGTTAAATAGTTGTGGCAATGAAGTAAGGAATAAATTTTAATTTTGCATTTAATTGTATTTTTTAACGTAATTTAAGTACCTTGCACCCGTTTACAATTGATATGCTTTTAGTACCAGCATGAAGTATTGTTTTTTTTATTAATGAATTATCCATTTTATTAAAAAAATAAATTATTTATAAAAAATATATAATTAGTAAGTAAAAAATTTTTTAATTCGTGTCCATTATATCTTTGACAAAGTCATAGAGTATAAAAATAATTTCACTTTGAAATAACCGACAGTTCTGTTTGTGTTGTTTGCAAGTTTATGTTAATACTGTGTATTGTTCAAAACCTTGTGGTTAATTTTTTTTTTGTTATGGGTTAAAATAATTTTTAATTCTTTGTTATCTTTGTATTAAATGTTAATTTCTTATTTTATTTGTTTATTGTAATTTTTATGTTAGTTTTTTTGTCAGTCATGACACCTGAAGGAGATTTAAATCAATCTCAGAGTCAAAAACTACCGGATACCTGCCCCATCTCTCAAGGCGATTTAAGCCAACAATTATTTTGGTGTACGCCAAATACTCAAAAACCATGGGGAAGGTTGTATCCCACCAAACCAGATATTCTATCATTGGGTTAGTTTCTATAATTGCACCTGTTTTTTTTTTATATTCTTTACCCTAATTATAGTTTTCTTTTGAGAAATTAATTTTCACTTTGAAAATTGAAAAGAAAATGTTTTCTTTGCTGGCTTCATAGATCTGTACTTCAATTATTAAATTAATTTAAATTTATTTTTTAAGAGCTGACAAACAATGAGTACACTGTTGGACGTGGTCCTCATTGCGATCTTTCAATTGGTAATAATTGTAAAGAAAAAGTTCATGGTGCCTTCAGTAAAGTTCATTTTAAAATAAGAAAAATAAATATATCAAAAACAAATCAAGATGATTTTATTGTATATTTGGATGATCTCAGTTCGAATGGAACATATATAAATGGCAAAAAAGTTGGAAAAGGAAAAAGTGCTATATTAGAAAACAATAATGAAATATCATTGTGCTTCCCCCATTACAAAGGTGCATGATTTGTAAATTTTTTATTATTTGTATATATTCATTGAAATGTTAATTAATTCTGATTAATAATTTTAGTTTTTATATACATGAGTTCGAATCTAGAGTCTGATGTTAAATTTTACCCAGAAGAAGTCACAACACAATATGCTATAAGTAGAATTCTCGGTTCTGGAGCTTTTGGACAAGTGAGATTAGTTTTTGAAAAAATTACAGGGAAACCATTTGCAATGAAAATTATTCAAAAGAAAAGATTTTGTACTGATACTAGACTTCAACTGAATGATTTAACAAGAACTAGAAGAGAAGTTAATGTTTTAAAAGCTCTGTCAAATGTTAATATTTAAATTAATTGGAATTAAAAATTTTTTATAAAATATTAAATATTAATAATCTATATTGTTTTTTTTTTAGTTTTTTATTATTAAATTTGAAGATGTAATTGAATCGAAAAATCATGTTTTTATTTTGACTGAATATATGGAAGGTGGAGAATTGTTTGATAGAGTAAAAAATGGGCCTTTAAGAGAAGGTGATGCTAAATTGTATTTTTTTCAACTTGCCATGGCTGTAAAATATCTTCACGATCACGATATCATTCACAGGTATTTATTTTTTTTATTAATTATGATTACTAAAAACAGTTGAGTACAATTTACTAAAAAAGTTCAAAATTACTTGTTATAGGGACATCAAGTTAGAAAACATTTTGTTGTCTGCAAAATCTTCTGAGTGCATTATTAAATTGTCAGATTTTGGATTTTCAAAATTTTTAGATTCTGAATCGGTCATGATGACTTATTGTGGTACTCCCTTATATATAGCTCCTGAAATATTAAAAAACAAAGGAAAATCTGGAAGTTATGATAAACAAGTTGATGTTTGGAGTATGGGAGTTGTTTTGTACATATGGTAATTAATATTTTTTTTTTTTTTTTATCAAATAAAAAAATTTTACATCAATGTAATTCTTTTTGTTTGTTCTTCCTAGTTTGAGCGGAGTGCCTCCATTTCAGTCATCCGATACTCACATACTCACTCATCAAATTTTAAACGGCCAATATAGCTTTTCCAACAGGCATTGGGGTAAAATAACCAGGAAAGCCATTAATCTAGTCAGGAAAATGTTGACATTAAATCCTAAGCATAGGATTTCAACTGAAGATATTTTAAATCATGACTGGTTAAAAGTACAGTATCATAAATTTTTATATTGTAATCATATTTTTTTTGAATTATGAAAACTAATAGAAAATAATTTTTAAAAAAAATATTTTAGGACAAATCTGTAAGCATGAGATTGAATCGACTACTGAGTAAAGTACAAATAAATATTTCTGCAACTGATAATTCTGACAATGAAATAGATTCAGATTTAGAAAATGAAAGATCTCGCAAAAAACCAAAAATGGGAAATTACTAATGATAATTTTTTTCCCGCGAAAAAGGAAAATTCAAACAAGGTGCCTTATTATCACATAATTGTGGAATTTAATTTTTTTTTTGTACCTAAAACAATGTCTCATCTATAAATAATTGAGTCAGAGATTATTATATATACATATGTTATATGTCTGTTAACGTTTTTTTTTTTTTTTTTTTTTTTTTTTTTTATTGTTAATTATGTATTGGAAAAATATTAAGTGTTAAAAAAAAATGGGTTAATTGGTTGGGATTATTATTATTTTTCAGTATTGAAATGTACTTAACTCTTAGTTATATTTAGTTAGTTGGGTTAGTAAAAAATTAAAAGTATTTTGTTTAAAATAAAATAGTACAAAATAGAGATAAATAATAAGAATTACTCATGAAAAACATATAAAAAATTTTCAATTATATATAACAATTTGGTTCTAATATGGCCGATATTTTTTTTTATTATTTACATTTATATTAATAATTATAAGTTGTTAAATTGTCTTCAACATTTTTCAATATTATATTATTATTATTATTATTATTGATTTTTTAAATTAAGTTAAAGAGTTACCGATTAAGATGATATTATTATTATAATACTATTAATTTACGTTATTTGTTATATATATATATAAAATAAAATTTAATAATAAATAATTTTTCTCACGTAGTTATTAATTATTAATTATTTAATCCGTTTTTTTTTTTTTAAATTAATTCTATTTTTTCCACGTGGTTTATTTTATACAAAAAAAAAAAAAAAACAATGAACATAAAAGCAATTTAAAAAAAAGATAATAATATAAAATGGCAGTCAGTCAACCGTAAGAATAAATGAGATAATATTTAATATAAATACATTATTTATTATTTTATTAATAATAACCTTTTGATGGTTTCAAAAAATTTCACAATTATTATTATAAATTAATTTCATAACAAAAACCTAAAATTGTTTGTTGCATTTGTTTAATAAATAAATAAAAACCAGGAAAAATAAAATCGTTAAAGCATTCCAGACGTTTTTCCCCCCCCCTTAAATAAATAATTTTATTGAAAAAAATTGTTCAGACCTTTTATCGTCTCAGCGGGTATTAGAAGCATTTGCCGATATATATATATAAATATATTCTATTATTATTATTTTTTTTTTTTTTAAATCATTATTTACGATTGAAAAAACAATTTATTTATATTTAACTTTATTTTTATAAAAAAAAAAAAAAAAATGTTTAATTTCAAAACTATCAATAAAAATTTTTTTTTTTTTTTTTTTTTTAAATCACTTCCGGTTGTTTAACTTTAACATTTGACGTCAGTTTTTTTTTTTTTTTTTAAAAAAAAAAAAATTTAGGTAATTTTTTTATTTTATTTTATTTTTCCCATTTTTCGTTTTGATTTTGCAACATTTTTTTTTTAGTTTTAGGTTCACGGATTCCAAAAAAAAATGATTCGAAAGGGCATTGACCTTGTTTCAAATCCTAAAAAACTTTATAGGTGATAATTTTATTTTATTATTATTATTATTTTTTTTTTTTATGAATTTTTAAAGAACATATGTACGAACAAATGTAAAACATTTTTTTTTTATTTGAAAAAGTTTTAAGAATACAATTTAACTTTTTTTTATAAAATATTACATAAAACTTTCATAACTTTTTTCCTTTTTCTTCATCCGGAAAGAAAAAAAAGGACGACAAGATTGATAAATTATTAAATTTATTAAATTTCTAAATTACAAAATTATAATAAATAATTAAATTGTTTAATCAAACAATAAATAAATAATGTAAAACATCGATTATTAATATTATTATTATTATTGAAAGAAAACAATCTATTTATTTTTTTGTTTACGTTTTTTTGCCGCCATTTTGTTTTCAATCCATTTGTCGTTAAACATCTTTTAATAACGAATGATTTATGCAACCGTACATGAATTTCTTTTAAGCATATGTTTTGATTTTGCTGATCCGTTCGAACTGTAATTTGGCAAACTTTGTCTTCTTCTTCTAACAGCTGGACTCAATTTATACCTTATTTTAGCCTGAACCAAAAGTTCTTTGAAAACGTCGATTATGTGTATGTTATCTTTGGCACAACATTCCACGTAACCGCATTCCCAATCAAAAACGGCCGTGGATTCTGTTATTTCTTTCGATGTTGCACGATTTGTTTCAACGTCTATCTTGTTTCCGACTACCACTATCGGTACTTTATGCCCTCTTACTTCTATTATCTAAAATTAAAAAATTTTGTGTGTCCCCAATTAATTCTGGCCACCTGTCAGGGTCTTTAATGTAGACATTTAATTAGACAGATTCAGTCCAGTCAGTTGGTCTGTCAGAGCTTAGTCTGGTCTATCAGAGTCAGAAATAGTCTAAAGTTAGTAGTTGTACCAGACATAGAGATCCAGATTCTAAACTTCACATCAGAGTCAACCATTACATCCATAAATTGATCTCAATGGCCTTGATACCTACTTTTAATTGAACCTTATATTGTGTTTGTATTATTTATACTGTATAACAAGGTGTATTAACAGATTATGACAAATTAGATAAATCTAAATTTAATGTACGATAAGTCCTCAACAACAACTACCAATCAACAGGAATTAGTAAACATGACGAGAGTAGAAGCAAAAAGTAGAGATTTTGGCGGGAACATCGAGATAGCGTCAAACGATTCAAATTTTCCCCTTTTTTGGGGGTTACGTTCTCTAGGGGGTTATTAAAGAGTTTCGTGCTTCAGTCGTGAACCGTCAAGATTTTATCCGAAAATAATTTTACAAATTAATCCCTTGTAAATTTTATTTTAAAAATAATTTTTACAACGTTGTTTATATTGAGATTTATTATAACGTAAAATTTATTTACTCTGTGGTTTCAATTTATTTCTAATATAAAATTTAAACGTGGTTTAATGACACGTTTTTTTTATTGACACGAAATGCAACGTACAAATATTTAAAAATTATTTGTTTTTTTTTTTTTTTTGCTGTGAATGAATTAAATAAATAAATAATGAAAAAAATTTATTTTATTTAAAGTTAATGAAAAATTTTTAACTTAATAATAATAATAATTAATTAATATTTTTAAAAAACGAAATTTTTTCTTTTTTTTTAATGTCAAAAAATAAATAAAAAAAAAAATGTCCCATTTTAAAATCTCGCATGTAATTAATTTTTTACTTAATTATACCACCGAGAAATTTTTTTTTTTAATGAAATAATATAAACCGAGAAAAAAACTAAAAAAAATTAAAATTTATGAAAGGAAACTGGGTCAATTAAATAAAAGGGTCACACGATATAAACTCCATTAATTTTTTTTTTTTTAACACCTATTAAAATAATAAAATAATAATAAGGTAAAGGTCGAGTTTTTTAATAGAGTAAAAATGACAACAAAATTTTCGCACTAATTTATTTATTTATTTATTTATTTATTTTTTACCCTATCATTTCTTTAAATAAAATTTTTTTTTTTTTTAGTATTCTCGTCTGATATTTAAATAATAAAATGCAGTTTTGTGAATAAAGTGTAGGAAACCGACATAACCCCTTATTTATTAATTTGCGTAATACGATATTTAAATAATATTAAAACCTTTTTAATAGACTGTATAATAACATGTTTCGTTAAGATAATGCGTTGTTTACAATACATCATTATTATTATTATGAGTGATAGGTTTCCCTTTAATAAAACCTTAAATTAACGTTTCGACGTTTTTTTTTTCTTATTGTCGTTTACTTTGTTTGTATATATATAATTTTCCCCCTCCCCCCGTTTTTTTTTATTAATTATTATTACGTAATTATAATTACAAGATAAAAATTCTTGTTATCGAATTTGTAAATTTAATAATAATAATAATAATAATTAGTAAATAATTACCGATTTTTTTAAAACGCATAATTAATAGTTTTAAACAAAAATAAAAAAAAAAAATTGCACAAGTTGACGTTTAAATTTAATTTTCTTTTTAATTTTCTTTTTTTGTTGTGGGTGTGTGCGCGCGTATTTAAAACATCGAAAACTGTTTATATTAATTTTAAATAATACAGGAAGTGAAGAATAAAAAAAAGGAAATAAAGAAAGAAAAAATGAAAGAAGAAAAAAAAAAAGGAAAATTTATAACCAGAAGGAGTTATAATTAGATGAAAAACAAAAAACTTTATTTTGTTTTTTCTTTTAAATTAAAAACCGGGAAGCGAGAAGGGAGGAAGGGAGGAGGAAGGAGGGGATAAGAAAAAAAGGTAAAAAAGAAAAAAGGGAAATCCTGCCGGCATGACAATTAACGTACCACACAAAAGATTTCAATCTTTTAATGTTAATTAAATTTTTTATTTTGGTCAACCAATTAAAAAATACTAATCTTTTATTATTATTATTATTATTATTATTATTATTATTATTTTTACTATTAAAAAACACGTCAGATTTTTTGTCTCCCCCTCCCCTACTTTTTTTCTAGAAATAAAAAAAAAAATTTCCCATTGAAAATTACGATCGATTGAAAATTTAAGAAAAAAAAAGATAAAAGAAAATCACATATTCCAATTTTTCTTTTTTCTTTTTCTTTTTTGAATATCGGTTTTCTTTTTTCTTTTTTTTTTTTTTTGAAAAAATAAGATCAAAGTTTTTATTTTAGATGAAACAAAATTTTCGTAAGTAAATTTCCGTTTCAAAAAAACATTGAAAGAAAATCGATGGCGGTAACGTGAAAAAAAAAAAAAAAATTGGGTCAAATTAGTTTTATAAAAAATCATCACAAAATGTTGCATACTTATAAAGTAAAAAGAATAGTTAAAAACAAACAAATTAATAAAACGGAAACGGAAATTTATTATAATATGGACTCACCTGTTCACGTAATTTTTGAACTTCTTCCCAACTATCCGAATTATCAACAGCAAAAACCAATATGAATGCATCTGCTGTAGATATTGACAATGCACGCATTGCCGGAAATTGATACGCACCGGAAGTATCTAAAATATCCAATGTTAAAGATGCACCGTCTGGTAAAACATATTCTCCCCTTAAATAATATTAATAAAAATTAATTATTTAATTAAAAAAATATTATTAATTAATTTATTATTATAATATTATAATAACCTGTGTAATTCTTCGACCGTTTCACGATATTTCGTCAAATATTTATCGTATAAAAATTGTGATATTATTGATGATTTACCAACTTTTGCCGATCCCATCATAACCACTCTTCTATATTCTTTTTGAAGTTGAGGACCTGAATTATTACTACAAGTGGATTCCGTACCAAATGATGGTAATCTCATTCTTCCTCCCTGACCAGGCATTTTAATTTTATTATTAACAAATTTTCTGTAAATTATTTCAAAAAGAAATTTTTTAAAAAAAAAATATTATCATCGCCGCCATTTTTAATTAAAATAACTTTTTTCATTTTGTCATATTCAGGATCTACTAATAAGAAAAAACAAAACCGTTGAAATTTTTTTAAAAATAAATTCAAAGGAATTATTACAATTGAAAATGAGATTTCCTTTTTGGGAACAAAAATAAATAAATAAATTTTCGAAAAACTTGTTTTTGATATTGTTTTGTGTTTTTTTTTTTTAAAACAAAATAATAATACCGTAGGCGGTTTGAAAAATCATGTTTTGTTATAAACAAATTGGATTTTCATGTTATAACATGATACGGTTGTGTTAAATAATTTTTAATTTGACGAAACAAAAAAAAATATAAAAAATTTTCCCCTTGCATTTCATAACGGATGCCCTATTTATTTCACTGCTACGAATTCATAATAAATTAACACTTTCGTTATAATAATAATAATAATAATAATAATCGAGGTGACCTATATTTAATTTGGATTTTAGTTTAATAAATTACTTAACATGCAAAAACCAAAGAAAAATTTTTTTTTTTAAAGAAAAAAAAAATTTTTTTAAAGAGTCACAGAGTTTTTTTAAATTTTCTTCTGCTACTTCAGATGTTCGATTAAATAACGTTCAACGCAATACAAAATTAATTAAATTTCGGACATTGTATAATTTATAAATAAAAAATAAATATTATTCATTAAATCTGGTATACGTACATAAATAAATAAATAAAAGAAAAAAATATTTTCTTGACCTTTTCATAAATATTTCATTTTATTTCCTTTTTGAAAAAAATTCCTTTGAATCTTTTTTTTTTTTTTTGATTTAAAAAAACGGTCAGAACACAATTTTTTTTTTGGCCTATAATTTTAAATGAAAGAAAAATTCTAAATTCGATTAAGCATTATTTATTTGTTTTAAGGACAAATCAATTAATTAATTAAATAATTAATTAATTATTAATTTTAAAGAGCGGGCCAAATTATAACGTGTTTTATTATAAATGTACATACGGGTCAAAAGTCATCGCACTATTGTTGTAACAATTTTTTTTTTTTTTTTCATGTTTTTGTTTTCATTTTAAAAATAAAATTGTGTAGCAGAATAAAAACATGTTTATGTTTACGTTTCACGGGTATCATATTATAAAAAATGAAATTCAATTCAAAAAAAAAAAAAAAAATACGTACGTCATAAGAATCTTTTTTTTTTCATTCAAAAAATTTTTTTTGTTATCAACCCTTAAAAATAAAATCTTATTAGAAAAAATTAAAATTAATAAATAAATAAGAAAATAAATTTTTAAAGTGAGTGAAAATTTTAATAGTTTTATCGCTACACGAAATTATTATTACCTAAATATTAATTACTTTGTATAGAAAAATAATAATAATAATAATATTTTAGATTAATTTAAATATTTATTCTTTTCACCTCACGAAAATTATAACAAAATTTAGTAAAATTAACGAAAAAAAAAAAGTTATATTAAAATACGTGAGAAAATAATATTTGAAGGTAATAAAATTAATATTAAAAAAAAAACTTTAAATTTACTTAATTCCATTATTGTTTCTTTTAGCGTGACGACGACGACAAAAATGTTTGTAAAATTTTTTACATCCCTTTTCCCCCCCCTTTTTTTTTTTAAATAAACAATTTAACAGAAAAAAAGTAAGGCAAGTAAATAATAAAAAAAAAAAATAACCGTCATAATTTTAAATAAGTGTCAAAAAGGTTTGCAATTTTTCTTTTTATTTTGACACAAATAATTTTTTTAATTTGTTTATTTAAACTTTTTTTTTTTTTAAAATTTAAATTGTTAAAAAGTATCAAATGCAAACATTAAAAAATAATTTGTTATTGTTGCTATAAAAACAATAATTTTATAAAATTTAATTTGATTCAACTTGTTTTTATAATTTGCCATTCAAATATTTTCCTTGTCGAATTTTTTAATAAATTTTAACATGGCGGTTAAAAGAAATAATATGGCGGGTTCATTAAAAAAGAAAAAAAAAACTCACTTGTAATAATTATAACATCATTATTTTAATTAACGAACCAAAAAAAATACATCGTACTTTAAAACGATTAACCGCCATTTTGTTTTTCTCCGAATTTATTTATCGTACGAATGCAAACGTGTGTTATTATTCAATATACATGTGTTTATTTTCTCTATGACGAAAAACAAAAGGAAAAATTCTTTTAACGTATACAAAAATGCATTTTTTTTGTTTTCATTTTAATTTACGTAAATCAGAGAGAGAGAGAGAGAGAGAGAGAGAGAGAGAGAGAGAGAGAGAGAGAGAGAGAAACAATCATCATTTAATTATTTTATTTAAATTATTGATTTTAATTACATTATAAAATATTATTTTATTAATTTAATAATTACAATTAAAATTTTATTTTTTATTTGTTTCATTATGTAAACAATAACTAAATGAAAATTAAATTAAATTTTTTTTTTCAAATAACGAAAACCCAAATATTTGTACTTTTTTTATTTACGAGAGAGAGAGAGAGAGAAAGAAATAAAATTTTTTTTAATATCAAAAAAAGGAGGAAAAACTAAATAAAATCAATAAAAAATAATTTAATTATTAACGATGACGCCGTCATCGTCGTCGTCGTCGTCATATATAAATAAATTAAATTATTAATAAAAATTTATTAATTTTTTATTTTTTATCGGTAGTATCTGAACAATAAGTTGTTTTAATTAATAATATTTATAGGGAATTTAGTATATATAAGAAAAAATTTATATTTTTTTTATCATGGACTCCATTAAAAAATATAATATAATATATATATTTTAACATTAAAAAAAAAAATGAAAAGAATATAATTATTGGTATTAAAATAAATTAATAAATAAATAAAAGTTGAATTTACTAATTAGTTTTTTTTAGTAATTATAATTAATCATTCAAATGATTTTTTTTTAAGAAAAAAAAATGTTTGAATAGAAGATAATGGATTTCAATGAATTATTATATTAACCCATTTTTAAAATCGATATTTCTATATAAAAAAAAAAAAAAATAAACAATAAAAAGATTTGTTTTATGTACATAAACATATGTAATTCAGTTATTGTAATTTTGATAATTAGAAATAAAAAAAAAAAATGTTTTTATAATGATGATAAAAATTCTTTATGGAAGCTTATCAAGGGATTATCATTAACGATGAACTTTGTTGTGGGTGGTGACTTTGAATACAATGGAAAAAAAAAAAAACAAAATTAGGGTTGGGAAATTGCATTTTTCTTTTTTTTTGTTAAAAAAAATTAAATTATTGCAAAATTTATTATTTAAAAGATTTCAAGGTAAAAAAAAAAAATTGAATCGTATTTTAAAAAAAAAAAAAAATTATTTTTTGACCTCTTTTGATCTTAAAAAAATCATATTAAAAATAAATAATGGAAGGAAGGATGTAAAAAAAAAAAAAATTAAAAAACTCATCCAAACCGTAGTTATAAGATAAATAAAAAAAAGAAAAGCACTAAAAAAGCTTTTACGGCTATCATGAAAGAAAAAAAAAATTGATTGAAAAATTACAATTTTTCTATGCGAAAATTTGTTTGAATATCAAAACCCGCAATCAATCCGACATCTTGTTTTATTATATTAAAAAAAAAATATAATTTAGCACTTTAACGGAAAAAAAAATGTCGCATAAAATTTTTTTATGTTTTGTTGTCACACGGATATATTGAAATTTTTATTAATTTTTTTTTTCATTCATTCATTTAATAAAAAATATTTAATTTATTACTTAATTTTTTTTAGGTTATAAATTACACGTGTCATAATCAAAAGGGTTTTTAATAATTTTTTAAATTTTATTCTAGAATTTTCTTACATTTAAATCGAAGTCTGATAAAAAAAACCTCGTACTTGTTTTTTTGAATGGAAGAATCTTTACACTATGATAATGTCGGACTAATTGTGAGCATATCATTTCTATAAATGAAACGATAGGAGTAGGATCCTTAAAGGTTCGTGTAGGACTCGAAGAAACCTAGTTTTAAAATGAATTAGGATCGAAGCTCGAGTAGGAGTATAAAGTAACAAGGTACCAGTAGCCCACGTCAAAACGCTATCCCTATACAAGGCCATATCAGTGGTCATACATTTTACAACGAAAAATCATGCTAAAAGAAACTCTTAATGCTCCAAGACGTTCTAGAAAAAAGCGAACAAAATTTCTTTTCATACAAAATTAGTGTGGGAATGTGAAGGTTAAACGGTTACAAGAAGAAAAAGTCTCCGGAGTGAAATTAATGGTACAATCGGTGCAAAATCAGGTTCATCATCCTATTCCCAAATCTAAGAAATAAAAGGATGTAACAATTCCAAAACGGTACCTCGATTTCAATTTCATCAATTTTAAAAATGAGAAAAAAGACCCCCCACAAAATAAAAATAAAAATTTTTTATTAGTAAAAAAAAAAAAAAAAATTGGGGGGCTCATTTTGTTAGTTTTTGAGTAACTATTATTTAATAATTAAATAATATTAATAAAGTTTAATCGTCAGTGACATACATATTCCTTTTCTTATTTTAATTTAGTATTAATATTTCATTTCCCCCTTCCCCCCATTAAAAAAATTATAACAAATCATTATTTCTATCATTAAAAAAAAAAATAAATAAATAAATAAACTTATTTAAAAGAAACATATCAAAATTGATAAAATACATTTTTTTTTTTCTTTTCGAACTTAAAACTTTTAAATTAAATGTAAATTATATTATATATTTATTAACATAAATTTAAATTTAAAATCAATATTATTATTATTATTATTATTATTATTATTATTA